CCCACATTTACATGTCATGTTGGCTCGCTGTCAACTCACTCCACGTTGGGCTTACGCCCAAAATTTCTTCCCCGATTGGCAAAACCCGTTTCGATCGTTTTATTTTGTTGGGCACGGAATCCTGATGATAATATATTGACCATCAGCTGTTCAATGCATTAGAACCATTTTACAACCAACGAGAGCAGCAAAAGCTTCGGTTCCACTCCGTTTCGATCGGTGACAAAGAAAGTATAGCTCAATGATGAATTTACCAAAATTACACAACTGATGCACAGAATGTACGGGGTGAAATGTAATGAAGCGCAACGTAAGCATTCACGCTGTGGTTGTATCTAGTATTAGATCCATAGTGGTTTTTCGCACGAACCTCACTCGTCCGAAAGTTCTGTTGACCTCAACAGCCGAAAGGTTGTTGGAGCTGGTGGTATGCTCAAACATGGCGAGACTAAATGAAAATAATCAAATGCCTTGAACACTTGTGATCCTTGCTCCTTCTACCCAATTTAGGGGAGACAACTTTGATATACACATCCTCTGTCAACGATATTTCGTCTAGTTTTGTGTGCGCTTAGAAGAACAGCAGATCGGGTTTCAGTGTTAAGCTAATTTGACTGCGCAGGGCAGAAGTTTGACCGGATTGTGGACGTCCACAGCTCTACAACTCGACACACGTATGCACCGAGGTTATCTTCTCGATTAGTGGAGGAACGGTAACGGAACTCTGGCACTGTATGGACGCATTTGATGGCAGAGAAGCATTCTTTTATACTCATAGACACTATCCTCCAATGTATGGAAAACCGTTCAAGAACTGTAGGGGGTACGAGTCTAACCTGGACAGCAAAATCGCGGGGAACAAGGCGGATAAAAACCACTATTTTCGAATATATGTCGATGGCAAATTGCTCCTGGAGAGTCTCAGATTGAGCAAAAATATCTCATTGATCGACGCATTGACACTTGGTGCCCAGCATGGTGCGTTGAGGTCCTTGGGCGTAACTATGCTGAGGCGGGACACAGCCGAGGCATTTCACTCTCGAATTATCACTGCAAAGTAGCTGTCAATTAATATTTTAGTCCTGGAAGAAGGGGAACGCGAGCTGAAGAACGGCAAACATGAAACAGGAGAATTGGGGGATTTCACCGGCCAACATGGATTTTAACTTGTTTTGACGGTTTTCAAGCTGTGAAAAATCGGTTAACCCACACCAACATGGCCCAGGTCTAAAGCATTAGCCTCTACATCCGCAACGAAGACTGTACTCCTCTTGGAAGAAAAGAAAACCACCGCTGGTTGCTACTTTGAAGTTTGCACTGAATTTCAAGACCGCGGAGAAACACTCCCAGCTGGAACGCCGTTTTGGGCAAAACCGTTTGAGGAGATTGAAGTAGGAGTCCATTTACATGCCCATCCTGTAATCAGATGTCCGTATTTTCCTCAAGAATCCAGCCGAATTATGATGGATGTTTAATCGACCACACAAACCCAACGTTAGTTATACTTCATTATCCGAGTTGTTTCGCAAGGATAAGATCGAGACCCGCTCACATCTTTGGTATCAAACAATAATCGATTTAGTGCGTAAGAGTCGTTTAGCTCAACCATTGACGTGTTTTTAACGAACTTTCCGGTAAATACTTTACAGATACACGTGCAGTTTTGTTACACGTTGGATCGAATCAACACTACTCAACTTTTTTAGACTATCAACCAGTTAGCTCCCTTTGGACCACCAGCCCACTTTGTTATTTGTCAGCATCAAAATCAGGCGTGAAATACGACCAGCAAGTACTATACATCAAAATCCCTTCTTCAGGAGCCGACGAAGGGAGTCCGTGCGAGGTAGTTTTATGTGCTGTTCTCCCAATGGCGCCCAACCTCGTGAAACGAATAACGTTATCCGGTACAGGACTGTCTTGGGAGAGCACTGTGCACAAAGTGACTGGTGCGATCGTTGAAGTAGTTAAAGAGATATCAGAAATTACACAAGACCGTAATTCCAGATATGTAGAGTCTGCTTTCACATTTGGAAAGAAATAGGATGGCTACACGAGGAACGATCGTAGAGACGCAATAAGCAAAAAGCAGGAGTGTGTATATGACCTTTTTCAAATAAAAGTTTAGACAAATTTGTAAAAAAAAAATCAAACGAACGTAGTGAATTGCTTCAAATTGCAGCCAGGTGCGCAATGCCAATAGCAGTAGCACGAAACTAGGTATAGGATCAGGCTGCGCCCAACATTTTACTAGCTTCGTTGAAAGCACACATACTCATACTCGTTCACTGCCTTTTTTCTATAGTCATCATTTGCGAATATTACAACACAAGTTCCGCGGGCCATTTTTTATCATACTAGCCCGTAAGGTGAATCTGTTGTAAACCATTTAACACTAGCATAGCACCGTGCCTTTCCACAACCATCAATACGATACAAGCTTCACTACAAACTCCAGCACACAAACTGACACTGATTGTGGAACGGCATGAATGGATTCATTAAAATGATGTGCCAGACGGATTTAATGCGATATCAGCACATGACTATTCTGGTTTGCTTACATGTACTCAACAACCATGACTGACAGATTTAATTCAACACCCGAGAGTCTGTGGTGGTTAGCATGCTATTGCGACAACGGGTGTCTCGTAGGTGTGAACTAACTGACTAGAATAGCTTAGACAGAAAAGTCACCTCTATTACCCCACAACGACATCTCTTTTCCAACCTCGCTCCCTCATCGTTCTAAAGAACCCCGCTCGAGAAGCACTGTAGTACGAGTTGCATACACTTGAATTTAGAAAACCTCTGAGTACCTCAAGTTCAGTAGAAAATGCAAGACATTTACGGAGGGAAATGTGCCTCAAGACCGTGAGTCCCTCAATTCTCCTACATTTGTTTTCAATAGGCTCACTCTCAGGAGACAAATTCTAAGAGACAGATGTTGACCTGTAATCTCATGTAAACTTCAAGGGATTCACACAGAGGTGTACATCACCGAGAAGGACCGAATTTTTCTTTAGGACAACACGATTTTTTCAGTAGTGTCAAAGTTGCTCTTTACTGCCTCCCTCTCAGAACTCAACTCTTCTGAGACCACATCTGCCGTCTCTAAAGAACGACAACTGTACGAGACATTGTGCTACTATGTACATGAAAAAGGGGAAGATTTCTGGTAGTGCATCCGGCTTGACCTAAGCATCGGGCGACTGATCCAACTTTGTAACGCTAATCAATGTTCACAAATTGTGCACATACCAAAGCTGTCCCATCATATTCTCCATTTACTCGTTCTAACTGAGGTTACTGTGAATTGCATTGATCGACAGGAACAAAACGTACAATTGTTCGCTTCCATGCTCTCAAAAATGTGGATTGGGTGTTTACCCCAAAATGTTACTGGGATAGTTGCTCTGTCAAGTATGGTCCATCTGCCTTTCCAAGTTGTTTTGCCTTGAGACTACTGGAAGTGTATTGTTCCACTCATGAACCACCTGGCAACGCACGACTGACACATGCATCTAGAGAGCGGGTCATCCAGCTCATCGGCACTATGCAACCAACAAAACTTATGCGCTGTTAGAAGCGTAGCTGAGTGAACTGTCGGGAAAACACAGAACAACTCGCGCTGAAATGACCGAATCAACCATATGGACCTCTCTTGAAAATCTCTCGGGCTTGATAATGTTGCAGCAGACGTTCAGTGGAAAAGCTGAATAAGGTAGCAAATCGTACCAAGGTTGAAATCCGTATGCCTACGTACCAGTGGTTGAGATCCAATTCTAGTGAGCGGTGCGACATAGTAAGAACTGAAGACTCATATCTGAATAGCCTTGTAGACAAGCCTAAATTAAAAACTTGTACGTTTGTCCGAAAACATTCAGGGTGGATGATGACTCTCTTGCATTTGGAACATGATCGGTCAGATAACATTCCACGCATCCATACCTTTGGAAATCCTCATCAAGTAGAGATGGATGAATAGCCATAAATAAAACCAAACAAAAACAGAGATCAAGTGAGTTAGGATTTATAGAGAACTGACGGGAAAGTACATTTTTTACAGTGTGTATTTGTTTCGCATCTTCTTGTCAGCGAGGCTGCAAATAGAATGAGAGAGGAGTTATACAAACTGTAGTACAAGGAAAAGAGCGCCTACACGAACTGAGTAAAATGATGTACATTGATGCGAGTGACGGTTAGGTAATTCAGACGGCAAGTCTCTTCTACCATTATTGGAATCATTTATTGGTGCCTGTAGAAGTGATAATCGGACCGTACAGGTAATCAATCGAAATTGATTGGCTAACGAACGTTCAATTCATCACCCGACGAACCCAGATACAGGACGAAAAACAGTCCATTATTCTGACGCCAAGGCACGATGAAAGTTATGACTTAAGGGTCTGCTTTCGCAACACACATGAGTAAGCTTATCGTATATGAGGCGGTGATATGAACATACGCGAAGTATGGTATGAAAAGATCATTAAGATTAGCATTCTGTGATGACTAAAACCGGAGTAATACAGCTCCTGTAAGTTGCGTAGACCGTTGGGTGGTACGCCTATGGAGAGGGCTTGTGGAGAAATCAGGTAGTTTGGCAAAGGAGAACCGCGTGTTATTAGAAACAGAAGTTGTCTATCTGATTGCAACAAATATACGAGTTGTTGTGCGGGTGATCGGGTTCATGGCAGTACCAGTGATGGAGGAGGAGAATACTAAGCTCTTGCGTCCATAGATCTGAAAATGAATTCAGCTCAACAATGATTCTGAGGTGGCGAAAAAAGCGCTCAGCTGTGCTGAGGTGCGAAAAAAACCCCCAACTGTGACACCCTTCCGGTGCCTAGTTGCCGTGCCAACCGAAGGAGGCACGAGGGCTGGGATACTGCCAGGTTGCCCATGCCTAGACAGGGGAAGTCAAGAGGCAGAAGTTGGGTTCGAACCACGGACCTTCCGGTTAGTAAATTCGCCCTATAACTAATTGAGCTACCTCGTTATCTAGCGAAAATCACCAGACATCGTTGACAGCGTTTGCGGGCAGTACATAAGTAGAAGCGTTGATGAAGAAAAGCAATCTAAACAAAATCTTGAGAAACAACGGTCGTACAAGTAATCTCCGAGTATTTCCGACTGATGTTGATCTCAAGGAAAACACCGCCCCAATCGATTTTCTCAAATTTGGAGCAACTGGAGCTATAATTAGATTCCATTAGAGTGAACAATTCCAAGGTCCCCTCAAAGAAGCCCTCTCTCTTAGACCGGGTCAACGCTTTTTTTCATCACCAACGCATGNAAAAAAAATATTAGAATAAGACAGCACAAGCCTAGCACAAACTTCAAATAGTGTCAGTACGATCGTCACTAGGATCGGTCATGTCCTGTACTGTAG